AATTATAAACGAATAAGAATTTACAATTTAAGGTGTTCTGATTAAAAAAAGGAAATGGCAAGTTAGGTAGTGCTAATTAAAGCAACCAGAATATACTGGCCCTATTTTGAACTTTCTTTTTAATTGTATTTACAAAATCAAGGTTGGGATTTTGAAGTCAACTATTATTGAGAGTATCAGGTTTGCTGATAGAAATCATAAAACTCAAAGCCTGGATATGCTAAAGAAGTTTCAAAACCTACCTTATCGAAATATAGAAAAGGTCATTAGTTGACGATAATTCTTCATTAGGCTTGATTGTAGATAATACCTTTTTAGTAAGGGATACATTTATAGCCCAATACTATTTGGTGGCGGATAGGCAAACCTTTCTTCTAAGATGGAAGAACTTGTGAGATGGGGGATAAAGGCAGTTTAGGAGAAACCTTGGGACTTTCTTCGGTTAAGCCCCTTCTGGAAAAAATATGACTTATTATGAAGATTCGGCTGTTACAAGATTGTGTGCCCATGTGGTAGCCTTTATGTTTGCGAGACTTATCGCCATATTCGCCAAAAATTAGCTAAAGACAAAAATTGCTTGGGTGATGATATCTTTTTGGAGGTAATGAAAAGTCAAATTAAATAGCATTGTGAGGCCTGCCTATGTTGTATTTAGAAAATGCACTATCAGCCCTTCCTCACACTAAGCGACCCAGGGTGTCTTATCCAAGATCGACCAATAACCTCGGAAGTCTTTTTCAACATAAATACAAATGTCATTATAAAAGCTGAAGTGGATAAACACAGAGCGGAAAATGGATATGGGAAACAAATGCATTTGTTTGCTGATAATGATACGTGTGCTAGTAAGCGCAGGAAAGAAAAGGTTACTGAAACTAATATATTAGAGAAGTTGCTGAAGGCAAGGAATGGGAATAAGAAGTTGAGTAGGAACTGTTTGTGCCACCGAGGAAAAGAAGGCGGCTTAAGTGGTAAGCTTAGCGAAACTTCTGGCCAGGCTCATTTACCTCAATAATTATGCTAATCTCATTAACCGAACAGACGTAGTTCTAATGAATCTATTGTTTGGTTCATTAAACATTGATGACCCAGGATTGGTATTTGGCCCTATTGTAACTAATTAAAGGTAGAAAGACCAAGATTTAGTGGCCGTTGGAACGATTGTGGCCCCCTTTCGTCGTATCCAAGTAGTTTGGACTCATTTTTGCAACTTGGTTTTATTATCAGGGAGACCTGGAGGAACCCATCTTTGCATAAGTCCATAGTACCTATGATCATTTTCAATGTCAGACCTTGGACTTGGCACATTTCCAGACGTTCCACCGACATCGTCAGTGAGCCTTGACATTCTTAGCACCACACTACAACTCGTCAAGGAGATAAGTGAAGTCGATCTTTTGACGAACTGTTTGTTGAATGGTTGTGGTATCGTTCCTTCTCTCCTCGTGTTTTCACTTATCCTACATCCTAGTAGCACCCCTCTATTATTACAAATTTTTATTTGCTTATTTAAGCCCAGTTCACATGTGCTCTTTTGAGCTGATTTAATTAAACCTATTCACAATTCCAGCTGGTTCCCTCATCTGCTCATGTGCTGGGAAAGCTGGCCCAAGTCTGCCCTTTTAGTCCGCAATCCTCTTCCTCCATATTTTAATAGTGTCTCTGGGGTCTGAACGATCCGTCTCTTATTTAGTGCTTTTACTCTATCATTACCACCATATTCGTGTTACTTAAGGCGTTATATTCTTCATATGAGATAAATTCACCCATTTTCCTTAAAGGTGATGAAGTATTGGTAGT